CAAACCAAACATAGGATTTGAATGATTCCTTGTCGACAACGTGCTCTCACCACAATGTAGGCAAGTGCATGACGGAAATCCAATATAAAAAAACTCGACAATTGGAAAACCTATAACACAGAACATAATGAGAAAAATATATCCAGTACACAACAGTAATGATGAGAATAAGAAAATGCACAGACACCTATATCGTTCCAAAATAGCAATAATATAAATAATTTTATACTCTTTACATTTATATCCAAAAGATAAACAAAATGTGAAATGAAAAAGAACAATACACAAACATTTACAGGAAAAATATTCTCCCATCTTGGACAGCACATACTCTGGTTGGATCGATTTTGGAGAAGGGACTGGCGTCGACGTTTTTGGACCAAATGGATACGGCGGTACAACCGATTTCGTTTGCTGAGTATATTAACATACTGAGTCTCCAACCTTCCAGAATCTAAATAATTTTAAAAAAAAACAAATTGAGTTCACTATAAATTCAGATTAAGACAACCACAAAAAAAATTACAAACCATTCAATTGCTCAAGCTGTTTATGTATGACATTAATTCGCTTCCGCTTGCACTTCCTTCTTAAAATTAGCTGTCTCCTCTGTCGTGCCAGTTGGGAAAGAACCTTTTCAATACATTGTAGTTCAGCTTGCAAATGGCTTTGTGCTGCAGAATTACATATAAGTATGAATCAAAACAATTTATAATAGGAGAGGCAAGGTGAACCTGAAGACAAATGGATATGTACCTTTTTCAAACAAAGATTCTTCCTCAGCAGATAAAACGAACAGTTGTCCCTCATCTTCAGGATTATAAAAGACTGCCCGACATTTCCCTGGAAAAACAATAGTTACCAAGTTGTGAGATTGGGTTTTGACCAATGACCACCAATCCATAACAGAGAAATAACGCACAAGGCAAAGACGATCGAAGACCCCTGTTGATGCCTGATGAATTGCCATGCAATGCTGCAACATTTGAAGCTTTAAAAACATAAAACCAAAAAATACTAAGTCATTGGGGAAAGACTCATGAACTTTGCAATTATGTGATTAACAAAAACAAATACTTACATTGCTGAGTGGATACAGTATTATGAACAAAAGTTGACTGAGTAGATGACTCGCCTAACTCAAATGTAGTCACACCCATAATGCAGAGTTAGGGGAATGGGTTTGCACATAATCAATGATGTTCAGCTCACAACACACCACTTACTCTAACAACACAAAAAACACACCATAGAAACAACAATGGCAGTAAGAAATGAAGCTTAACCACCAACAATGTCATACACAGTTCAAATTGTAAAAACCTGCCGCTGATCAAGAAACTGAGTCTGCTTTGCCAATTGATTACATAAAACTGGAAGCTATGGAACTGATTTCCCAATCAGATCTCAATCTGGAACTGCAACCCCAACGGATTCACCAAACTGAGATGTTACATATACATCATTGGATTCATGAACATGACTTCATAAACAGTATGCACCAACTATATTGATTATAAGTCAAAACAGGTGAGTAACAAAAAGAATCCACTGATAGTTTTCGACCAAATTAAACAGATCATCTGTTTTTCTGCTGTCCGTGCATAGTATATGGGGCACAAATCCAATATACAGGCTATGAAGTTAAAGGTCTAATAATAGAAGAAAAACAAAACTTTGTTGGATTACAGATCAAATCAAGCAACCAGTTTTAGCTAAAATTACCAGACAAAGTAGTTAAACTGCTACGAATGAACCCCCATAGCTTTTATAACAACAACCCTTTCAGACCCTGTTCGCACAACCCATCTAGGTAAAAGATCAATCCTAAACCTTCAATCCCAACCACGAATAACTCATCTTAAACATACATGAATTCGAAAATAGAATTCTTACGGATTTAGACGGTGAAGACGCAGAAGATAGATTTCAATTACGTAACTAAGCTCAACCCTACATGAACCCCAAACTTTAATTCTACCTAATTTCGGGGTTCAAGACAAAGAACGAAGTGTCCGGTTACCTTCATAAATGCATTTCAATGAATCGACACCATGGGGTGACAGCTCGCACTCGGATAGTGTTTAATCTCGACGGCGAAGAAGCTGGACGGACAGAGCGCCCTCACTGATTTCGCCCGTGAAGACACAGAACGGGGAGAGCACTTCTCCGACTGACCGGCCAAGAAACTGGAAGGAGAGAGAGCGCTTAGTGATTTCGCCCGAGAGAAGACACAGAACGGGGAGAGCACTGCTCCGACGGTGAAATCAATGAAGGGAGCGAGTGAAAATCGTACCGACGGAACAAAAAAACCACCAGGCCCGTTCAACGCAATATGAAAGGCGGTATTTTTTCCCTGTCCCAAAATACCCCTCCGACAAACGCTCCGGAGGCAGCAATTTCAAAATGGGGCTTCAGTTTTAGGCTACGGCGTATTATAATTAGAGTAGACAAGCGTTGGAAAATATGGTCGGATTCTTTGTTATATTGGGTTGTGTTAGACTTGGTTTTTACTCTAACCCGGATTAATATGTGGCTAGTTTGGCCTTGATGTAACTTTTGCAGAAGCAATTTCTAGCTAAAACTTTTTGAGAAGCACTTCAAAAAAACAGTTGAGTGTTTGGTTGAATAAGAGGTTATGTAAAGTTACTATAAATGATTTATAATATAAAATATAAATAAAAATATAAACAATAAAAAATTATTCAAAATAGATCTTATTAGCGATTTTATATTAAATAATATTATTTTTAAATTTAATTTTTAAATAATATAAATGAAGGAAAATTATATTTCCTGCAATAAAATTAAAATATGATAAGGATAATCTTGTATTTTCTAAACAACGTTTCGCAAAAGCTCCAAATCGGAGCTTATGCTTTTATGTTATACAAAAGCACTTTTCAGCTTTTCAAACCCCGAACTTTTACAGGTGTTTGACCCTACTTCAGCTTTAGAAACTAAATTTTTTTTCTAAAAATCGGACCAAATATAGACATGATCTTATCGGGTTGCCATTTTAATGGGTGAGTTGGGGTTTCATGATATGCAAACCATGATATATTAATTGTTTAATAAAACCTTACCGGCTCATGTACACCCTTGTCCAATAATAAACCTTACCCAAAAGTTGGAAAAAGGTGAAAAATTAGGATGACATGAAACCTTACCTGAAAGTTTAACAAAGAAAGTGACAAATTAGAATGACATGATTAACGATATAATTTGTGCCATTTTTAGAGGTTGGAGTTTGGACTATAGAAATAATTGGGTTAATGACACATTTGGTCACTGTGATTACTAAATTGTCCCATGTTTAGTCACTAAAAAAAGTTAATATCAAATTTGGTCACTCTAATTACTAAAACAGGTCATGTTTAGTCACTCTCCGTTAGTTTTCGTCCAACTCCGTTAATGTTGACCGTTATGTGCTGACGTGGCTAACGGGAGTGCCTAGTCAGCGTCATTTTGACCCGGAAATGGTCAAACCCAACCCGCCACATCACTAAACCAGCCATGTCATACACCCAACCCAACCCATAACCAAACCCAAGCCCGTCACCACCACTAACATACCTACCTGCCGTCCCACAACTCCAACCACCGTCCTCCGGCGACCACATCGTCCGGAAACAACCCAACCACTCCCCGTCTCAAGTCTTGCTCCTTCTCCAGCCCAGTCTTGCATTGTCGTACATCTTCTTCCTCCAATCTCGGTACTAGTACCACAACCGCAACATCAGAAGACATCCATGCCCTCCATTGCATAACCACGCAGAATACTCCCAAGGCCACCACGGCGAAGCTCACTGCAGCGAGCTCGAAGCCCAACCACAACTCCAATCTTCCCTCTCCTTGATATCCTCTTAGTTTATGTCTCTTCAAGGAAAGCTTCAAGTTCAGAGTAAGCCCCTTCTTTTTTCTCCTTTTGATTTGGTTGAAATTCTTGTGACCAGGATCTGGAATTGAGGAGAAGGTTTGTAATGGTGGAATCTCCATCGCTATCCACAAGAATATCCATCTTGACGCCGCCAACAACAATGTCAAGCCTAAAATTGAGGAGAAGAGGGCTGTAATGGTGGAATCTTCGCCAGAGCCGTAAAGCAGGAGTCGTCGGCGCCGCTTCAGCAGCAGCCATTGACGCCTAAACTGTCCGACTTGAGGTCTTACGATGACGACGAGCCGCGATAGGGGAATCGATTTAGGGTTTCGTCCACTACTGCCGGCGCGCGATGAGGGAAGCTAACGAAGGTGGATTTGAGGGTTTTGTTGTCTGCTGCGATGGGTGAAACTAACGGCGGCGCGCGATGAAGAAGAAGAAAACAATGGTACTTTGAAGAAGGATCCGGGACTAGGGGATAGGGGGGTAGCATGGAGCTCTTCATCTCTCCCTGGAGTTCAATCGAAAATGGCTGAACCTAGAGGAAAGAGTAGAGCTTCGAGAGGAAGGAGATAGGTTTTTGGTCTGAAAATTGGATTTTTCGATTTTGTTTTGTTTGGTGGGCTAGGGTTTGGTTATGGGTCGGGTTTGGTTCTGGGTCGGGTTTGGGTGTATGACATGGCTAGTTTAGTGATGTGGCGGGTCGGGTTTGACCATTTCCGGGTCAAAATGACGCTCACTAGGCACTCCCGTTAGCCACGTCAGCACATAACGATCAACATTAACGGAGTTGGACGGAGACTAACGGAGAGTGACTAAACATGACCTGTTTTAGTAATTAGAGTGACCAAATTTGATATTAACTTTTTTTAGTGACTAAACATGGGACAATTTAGTAATCACAGTGACCAAATGTGTCATTAACCCAGAAATAATTTGTGCCATTTTTATCGCCTATCGGATGGGATGTGAACAAGGCATGCAGCGGCCTACAAGTAAGTTGGACGCAGGCCCAAATTTTAGCCCATATCGAGCCATCCCGACCCTCGAACCGCAACAGGCCCACGGGGGCAGATGGAATGAAAAGCTCCCAATCCAGTTTGGTGTTCGCCATTGTCAACTTATCTGATAAACATCAGAGCTCCAGTTCCCTCCATGAACTGCCACTTGCCCATCCTAGTCAGATTCCTGGTCCTGGAGATGGACGATTATCTCAAAGACGTCACGCTTCCATTAACCGCACTTCTCCGTTCCCACGACTGTGCATCTTTGCCCCTTTCTTTATTCTCCTCACCCAGTTTCCTGCCTCTTCCGCTCTCCTACCTTCCATGTTTTGATCCCAACCCGCGCCGAAAGGGCATTTGGTAATTGGAAATGCAGTTGCAGAGCCATTAACAGGTATTCTCAAGTCTCATGGTTAATAGTTCATTCCCAGTTACCTAGCTCTGCAAACTTTCCCATTTTCATAAAGTTGGATACTTCTGATGAACAAGCTTGTGGGGGGTTTCTTTCTCTAATTGTTTTCTAGTATCTTTTCACTTCTCTCGGTAGGAAGTGCATAAAGCTGGTTCCTTTACTTTGGATTTTACAAATAGTGGTTCAATCGGATAGGAAGGAATTCTTATGGGGGATCACAGCTGATATCATTCTTATGCTTTGTCTTTTATCTGTGTGGGTTGTCAAGAAATGAACTCTATTTTTGTCTTGGACGATGGATCCGAGTACTGCCCACCAATTGTTTGCTGAAATTCTCCTTTCAGAAATTGGCTTACCATCCTTCATGCGCTGACTGGTTTCTTCTTTGATCCTCTCAATTTAGCCATAGGAAATGCACACGCTTTGCTGAGTCAGTGTTGTGAATGAAGATATGAACTAGGCTTACCATCCTTTTGGTCTTCAATGGATTCTGGCACTTGCTTGTGTAGACACAATTCGAGGCCTCGCAGCCTTGTCCACCAGATTAAAGTCCATGCTGTTACTCAATCCTCTCCTTCCCAAATACTCTCGTGCGTTGAGAAAGCGCCCAAATATGCCTGCATTTCACTTGTGCCAACTGCTGATGATTCAGACAGCGCCTCAAGCAGTCAGCTAGCAGGATCGAATTGTCTTCGTGATGTCCATATTGTGAGTTCCATATGTTCTGTAAATCTGTTCCTGCATTAGCCATTACTTAGTAATGTTCTCTAGGAGTGTGTTGTTACATATTGAGTTGACTGAATGATAAGGGAATGAAAAAATGTTTTTTTTTGTGTGTGTGGATAGTCAGCACGGTTGATGGAGGATTTCCTTGAGCTGGCTAAACAAAATACAGACAAGGATCTTGAGACATGTGGGGTTCTTGGTGCTTTCCTTGTAAGATTCCTGCTTACTTCAGTGTCTTAAACTTAAAGTACCAGTCTTCAATTGTGCTAGACCTCCTATGTTTAGATGTAACTAATGCCTGTGACTTTGATAGTTGATTCTAGTTTAATGATACTTCATTGAATCAGGAAAGTGGGACCTATTACGTCACCACTCTGATCATACCCAAGCAAGAGTCCACTTCCAACTCCGTGAGTTCCTCTGCGTCCTTTGTACACATTGTAACTGCATTGAAATAAGTTACTTGCTTTGAAATTTTACAGGGTTTGATCTATTTACACTCCTGAAATAAAATAAAATGATAACAGTGCGAGGCAAAAAGGGAGGAGGAATACTTTACAATACAGAAAGAACGATCTCTTTCCCCAGTTGGATGGATCCATGTATGTCATTTACTTCTTCCCTTTTGTCATGATACTTCACTTTTTTAAAAGAAAAATGGGGTTTGTCACAGAAATGCATGATTCGTGCCCTTCCCTTTGTTCTTTTTCCCCAGACACATCCTTCTCAGAGTTGTTTTATGTCATCAATTGACTTGCACACTCATTACTCGTATCAGGTAGACATCCCTTGAACTCTTGGTTTTGGTGTATATATATTGAACTGTTTAATCAATGTTTGGATCGTTCCCTATGTGTTGGTACGAGTTGTTCTTCTTTGTTTCTTCGTCCGATAACAATGTATATATATTGAACTGTTTAATCAATGTTTGGATCGTTCCCTATGTGTTGGTACGAGTTGTTCTTCTTTGTTTCTTCGTCCGATAACAATCTGCTGGATGATGTTAAGCTGAACCAGTGTTTTTCTTTAATCTGCTTCTACCAGGCAATGATACCAGAAGCATTTGCCATTGTCATGGCTCCAACTGATACATCAAGGTCTGTGTGTCCTGTAAATGGATATCTATCCAACCATGGCATGCTGCTATATAAAGTTCTGTTGCGCAAAAATCATTTTTTGTCCTGTGGAATGCATGCAGGAGTTATGGGATATTCCGGCTATCTAATCCAGGAGGGATGAGTGTGTTGAGGCAATGCCCAGAGATGGGATTCCACACTCATGAAGAACCAGAAGATGGGAGCCCCATTTACGAGCACTGCTCTAACGTATACACCAACTCCAATCTGAGGTTTGAAATATTTGACTTGCGATAATAATCATTCTGGGACGACAGCAGCATAAACATGCACAGTACTCGGTGCCAAATATATCAGTCAGCTTAAGAACAATGGACTTCTGTCCTGATTTTCGTTTGAATCCGAGATCCTTCAAATCATTGGTAGGGAACTACTACTACTACTGCCACCTGCTGTGTGTCTTCTGGACATATAATAATATGATGGAAATGGCAGAAGCTGTTTGGAATTGATTTCATTCATCTCATGTAATCTAAAATCCAAGGCTGGTCTCATCTTTTGCTGCAATGTTCATGATTCCAGCTTCAGCTCATTTGTGTATCTATCTAGACTGGTTCAACCTGTTGTTGTTAAGTTTACTCTCCTGGCAGATAAATTAGCATACCGCCAAGATTTCGCCCTTGTGTTTCATCTATTGTTGTTACTATGTCCACCATGGCTAGATAGATATTTCCAAAAGACTCGGTCTGTTTGTTGGAATCATAGGATTGAACGCATCATCTTTAATACCCAAACTGAATGATTCAAATCAATGCAAGTCCAGCCTGGAAATAGGAAGAGGGCCGTGAGAAACCAACTTGCTCTGTTTTTTTTTTTGTTTCTTTCCTAAAAGATGCTGTAGTTGGCACAACCATCCAAAACCCATGACAGCACCAGTGGCGCAAAAAACAGGGAACCTGGTATTGCCGGGTCGCGGTGGAGCACCTTGGGAACGCAGGAATCATTTTTCGGAAACGAAATCACCCAACCCACGACCACACAATAGAATAACACGGTTAGAATCCAAGGTAGTTGTCAATTAATTAATGCTCGAGATTGGATTAATGTTGGAAGAAGATAGAACTAATTATCCCGAATCTGGAATTCAAACAAACGAATATTCACTGCTGAAAATTCCTGTCTATGCTCTCTGGTTCCAACTAATTCTCAGAACTGTCTGGTTCCAACTCTCTGAAAATTCATATCTATGCTGCAGTCTGCAGAGTTTAGTTTCCTTCTCTTTTCCGAGCAAAACTGAGAATTTTCATGGGCGACCTTGAGACCAGAATGTTTAAAGTTTGTTGCCATTGCATAGCAGAATCCATTCCATCCCGTTCAAGCATTGCCGGAAATGGGTAGTAGAGCAAAGCATTAAAGCATGCATCTTTCTGGTTAGTTGAGGACAAACAAGTTTGCCGGTACACCGGCGGGAATTAATAAATTGACCCAAAGAAAGGGCCTTTTCGTTAAATAAACAACTGTTAACTTCTTTACACAGAGAATATCTGATCTGAGCAGACTTGTGGATGCATATACTAATCACAAACTAAAGAACCAATCAATCAATCAAAGTGTTAATGATGATGATTTGAGGGAGACTGCTACGAACTAGCTAGCTTAACTTAGCAGGTGTAATTAGCTCTAATAGGGATGAACATTTTTGCTCAACCCATTGACGCTGGCGAAGAATCCGACTTGCTTGTACGTCAGGTACGACGCCCTCTTACCACTCTTCTCTTCCTGCTTCCTCCTCGCGTATATCTTCTCAAACGCCGACGTTTCCACCTTCTTCTTCTTCTTCGACGCGGTGGCGGCGGTTTTCTTCGCCGGAGCCTTGTCGCTCCTAACCTCCTCCGCCTTATGGGCCTTACTCCCGCTCGCGGCCTCGGGATTGTGGTGACCGTGGTGGTGGGGGAGAAAGGCGAATTTGTCCTTGCCGTCGCTGTTGCTGCGGAGGACGAGCTCCCTGAACCTCCGGAGCTTGGAGAAGCCGGTGGAGTTGCTCTTCTTGCAGACGTCCGGCGACGGGTCTACCACCGCCGCGGCGGAGGGTTTCCCCCTCCACTCGCAGAAGGGTCCCTCCGGCTGGACGGCGGGAGCGGCGTCGGCGTCGGGGAGGAGTAGATCCTGGTTGAATAGGGGGAAAATCGGGCGGATCTGGCCGTTGAGGAACGCTTCCTCGGCGGAAATCAAGGAATCCTCGCCGAATGCTCTGGAGAAACTGAATTCATCCTCCTCCTCCTCATCTTCATCATCTTCGCCTTCCTCCTCCTCATCAATTTCTCCATCCAATTCCAATGATTCGTCATCTCCATCTCGATTCTCTTCTTCTGCTACGGCTGCGTGACTCTGTAACTTGACCTCTTCTTGGTTGTCCTCCATGAGCTTGAGCTTGAGCCAGAAATCCTGGACGAATTTGCTGTCCGTGTCGGAGAAGTTGGGCTGCAGAGCCAAAACAGAGCTCATCTTCTGCATCTGCGCTGCTTTGATGGTGGCGGAGCGAAGGGTTTCAATCAGCTGGGTTTTGCTTCGGTGGAAGATAATTGGGGATTTTGATTTGATTCAATTGCCTGTGGCCTGTGGGTGTGCGTTGGAAAGGGATTATCGGAAATGAAAGGGGATTTATAGGGTGAATAGAAAGAGAGAGAGAGAGAGGAAACGGGTGGGTGGGTGGGCGGGCGGGCGGCGGGTGGAAGTAATGAATCGGAAACTTCCCCCAACACAATTGAATTCCTCAATTATTATTTCAGCCTTTGATTTTTCCAAGGTTGTCAAACCGGTTTATGCCAGTGTGCCGGTTTAGCAAGTGAAATGGTTCAACCGGTGGCACATACCGGTTTGTGCCGGTTCATGCCGGTCAATATTACAAATAAAATTGTAAATACTCATATTTAAACATGACATTTAACGTCAATACCTAAACATTTATACTTGAATCCAAAAAATAACATCAATATTTAACTTTTATACAAATAAATTAAATAATAAAATAATTTTTATCAATTACATTCACTAAAATAAGGGCATTTTACTTAAAAATTCGTATATCGATCATGCCGGTCATACCGGTGGTGTCACGCCGGTTTTATGACCGATACCGGTTGAACCCGGTACAACCGGTGGCACGCCGACCGGCGTGACAACCATGGATTTTTCCTTTTGGGGGTCAATAACCAAAACGACGACATTTCCATTTTAGTATCTTTTTTTTTAAAATATCTAGTTATGCTTCTAGTTATATTTTATTATCTAACTGATAAAAGTAGCCCTGATTAATGCGCGTGTTACTGTATTTATTTGTGCTTATGCCAAGTTTGAGGAGGTTTGGGCACTTTAAACTTTCCTATAAGACAAAAGGGGGATTCATTGTATAAGGTCTTTTTAATAGGAAAATTACCAAAGGGGTCATTTGAAATATTCTATTACACATTTGGTCCCCGGTCATTTTTTTACTTATTTATCTTACTTATGGGTGCTATCTATTAAGGCTTGCAAGTCACTATTAGATAGCTAACATCAATGACTTAAGGGTAGAAAGTCAAAGTATTTAGCTATGCAGGTGGTTTTTTGAGTTAGTAATGTCGGTGTCATATAGTCTGGATTAATTCTGGATTCGTTCTCTATTCTCCCTAAGGTTTTGTAGTGATTACCTATGAGTTGTTGGGGATGATGGCGGGAAGAAAATTGGGAATGCTTGGAAAAAATCTAACTTATCCTAAACAAAAAGGGGGGATTAGGACTAAGAGAGTTAGTTGGATGGAAATTAGCATACATATATTGGTATGAACCAATTTATCAAGTAATTAAGTTTTAAAAAATATCTAAGTACTTTTGCTTGGTGACATGACACACATCAACCATAAGTAAGTCATTAATGGTTTGGAAAAAGGTCTAGAGCTTACAATCGTTATGAAAATTGATAAACTTCTCAAAGTTTGGGGAAATCTGATCGAGATTGTATTTTCGCACAAAGTTCATGTTAAATTAAGGTATTAAGAATCCATTTTTATTTCTAAAATTTACCAAAGACTGTTTGTGTCAGTTTATACTAAAACGAATTTAAATAATTAGAGAAATATAAAGCAAACCACTTTGACTTTGTAGTAGAGAAAAGAGAGGAAGGGAAGTTGCGGGCCGTTACAGAAAGGAGAAGGAGGAGACGGCGCACAACTGCGTAAGCAGCCTGACGACGACCGAGGGAAGTGTGCTTTGTAGAACAAAACAAGAGAGGAAATTGCTCCGCTGCTGGCTGTGGACCTCTATTATTGTTTGTTATTATGCAAAATTTCACGATACTTTTGTTTGTTTATGTTTTTGCTTAATTTAATTCCTCCACAAGCATCTTTAATTTTAGTTAGAGGCCGGATGCCTTCGTTTATCAATTTCTTAATTACAACACCTTAATTAATACGATGTGTTTTTGTTTTACCCTAGCTAGAGGGTTAAGCGTCCAAAGGCCAAAGGAGGAGTTTGTGTTGAAGAAGTCTAAGGGGTGAGAGGGTAAATATGTCATGCATGAACAATACATGGATAATAATATTATACATAAATAAATATGGTGTATTATAGTTTACAAGTAATAGTTTCTAGCAAACAATTCTTGTATTGTTTATTCAAAAAATCCAAAAGAACGATTTATTGTGAATAATACATGCATTATAACTATTTCAACCAAACTGTCATTAAAATTAAACGACCTCTTCATTCTATTCTTGTCAGGAATTCAGATGCTCATAATACTAAGTGTTTTCGGGTATAAGTTGAATTTGTACCATAAGAGAATTTGTGCGAATATATATGTTCAATTTGAATTTGTACCATACCGAAGTTAAGCTACAAGTTAAATTTGTACCCTCTACTGTGTCATTGTGCATCCAATGTCGAAGGCACAACAATCCAAGGTGGGTCGGCTCCACTACCTTGGCTTGCAACACACAAGAAAAAATTATTAGTAAACGCTGCAATCTGCAGAGAAGAGTTATCAAAATGCATACCTTCTTTTTACTGGGTTGTATCTACACCATTCGGCTACAAGCCATTTGCCGTAACTGAGCAGGTCAATTAGTACGATTTGTTCGCTTTGGGCCAAACCCGCATGATTTTACTTTTGGGTTCTTTTCCCCTAAAAGGCCTCGTAGTAATTGAGCTAAGTGGACACTAATATACAAGGGTCCCTTTCCTTATATTTCCGATGTGGTACTTGGATTGTTCCATAACAATCCTCCCCTCAAGACAAGGAACACGAACTTCGTGTCCTCTCCTCAATGATTATCTTGATCCGCCAGACCAGATGTAGATCACCTTTGATCTACTAGACAGATGCGGACCTCCCTTGATTTGCCAAACACCTTGTATTGATGGCCTTCTCGATACAAGGATTTTTCTAGACGCGGAACTCACTTTGCTCCGCCAAACAAACGTGGATCTCTCCTGGATACACCAAACTAGACGCAGATCTCAAATCCTGAGGTCACCGAACGAGGGTCCACCGAACTGACGTCCACCACCCCGGATCCACTGAACCCGCCTTTGATACCACTTGTCGTAACCGGGGAGCTCAATTAGTACAATATTGTTCGCTTTGGGCCAAGCCTTCACGGTTTACTCTTGGGTGTCCTCACCAAAAGGCATCGTACTAATTGGGCTAGATAAACACTTATATACAGGGTTCCTTACCTTGTATTTTCGATGTAGTGTTTGGATTGTCCCATAACAATCCTCCACTCAAGATAAGGACCACGAACTTCGTGTCCTCTCCTTAGCGATTATCTTAATCCGCCAGACACCTTGTATCGATGAGCTTCTTGGTACAAGGATTTTCCCAGACGCGAAACTTTCTTTGATCCGCCAAACCATATATAGCCCTGACGCGGAACTTCATTGATCTGCCAAACCCAAACGTGGATCTCTTGTGGATCCACCAAATAGACGCAGATCTCAAATCTCGAGGTCATCGAATGAGGGCCCCACTGACGTCCACCTCCCCGAATCAAACCAGGCTTTGATACCACTTGTCATAACCGGAGAGCTCCATTAGTACGATATTGTCCGCTTTGGGCTAAGCCCGCACGTTTTACTCTTGGGTGTCCTCCCCAAAAGTCCTCGTACTAATGAGCTTGGTTGACACTTATATACAAGGGTTCCTTCCCTTGTATTTTCGATGTGGTATTTGGATTGTCCCATAATACCATTTTATTTATACTTTAGCATTGAATTTATTTGTTATGTGATAAAAAATATCTAAGATCATATTTTACATCCAATCAAGAAGCACGATTTCGTCTCTCTTCTGTTATCCATCCCAAACCCTAGTACGATCTCACCCTCGATTATCACCAACCTACTATCTTCTACTCAAAGAACATGGTTCAAGAATTCCCACAAACCATAATCTCAATCTAGTAATTCTATTATCCGCCGACTGCTCGCGGCTCGATTTGCCCTCTTGCCTCTCGTTGTTCACTAGCTTATTTATCATTCATTTAACGACAATAAATCCTCATTTTTCTTATGATAAACAACGTTGTTCACTACAACCTGTGCCACTATTGGACCCACCTTTACAATGTTCCAGGCCACAACACTACCCACATCCTTCCTAAAATGAAAACTAAAGCTCGATTCCTATCCTACACTAACTTTGTCAATTTCTATCGATCTCAAACAGGAAATTTTACTATGCTATATAGTATTGGTGATATAGGTTTTTACCTTTATGGTACAACTTGAAGGTGTACCTTTAACGTTATGGTACAACTTTAAATTGTATCTATACTCTTTTGTACAAATTCTTTTATGGTACAACTTGAACTTGTACCTTTATTTGATGGTACAATTTTAAGTTGTAAAGTTGTACCATAACGTAATGGTACAAATTCTTTTATGGTACAACATGAACTTATACATTTAACGTTATGGTACAATTTCAAGTTGTACATTAAAGCACCAATGCTTTATAGCATAGTAGAAGAGCTCATCTCAAACGTGAGGAGCTGTAACCCTCCATCATCAGCCACGAATGATAGTTGAACAACTAGGTAAGAGTAGGAATCAGTGAGAGGGTCCAGCCTCCTCTTGTTACGTGCAGATTAGTGGGCCAAAATTGAGGAGATTTTATTGTTAAGTGGCTGTTTGGGATTATCTCCAGTAGCTTATTTTTAGGATTAGTGGGTTGGTAGTTTTTTTATCTAAATCAATTAGAAGTTGTAATCGGTGTGAAGAATAATCAAAGAACCTATTGTTTGTTAAGGAGGCCGGTTTTGCCTCAAAGAAGCCAAACTCAATCCATCTTCTCCTTCCCCACGCCCCTTTTCTCTATCTATCTACTACCCAAAACACCACCATTGCTCCAAAGAAGCAAAAACCCATTAAGTCTTGGCCGCGATCCGAGCCGCAAGGGCCTGAAACTCGATCCCAAACTAAAGCACACAATGTTGAGTTTAGTGATCTAAAATACAACTTTTATAGATACAAAT